AGCCCTAAAACTTATATGAAAATACTGCCTTGAATTTTAGTCACTTTATCCACAAGGATTAGAAATGTCAACTATTCAGACTGACAAAATTCTCTACAGAAAACATGATTTACATAATTTCCTCCTTAATTTTTCTTTCCCTTTAGAGGCAGCATGAGAACACTACTACATGAGAAGATATTTTACTGCAATAGAGAATGTGTAAGTAATGAATTGCTTAGCAGTTCTGGACATTGCTCTCCATTTTTAGAATGGATTTGATTAACTGTTCTGTTGAATATAGATCTTAACTATATATTGCCGAGAGTAGCCACAAAGGAAGTAGCTATTTTTAAAAATATAAGCAGACAAATACAATCATTCTGGAATAAATCTTGCTGCAAGAGATGCAGATACAGTACTTTACATATGACTAAACATAATAGTAATAAAATAAACAGTTCAAATAAAATTTACTCTGTACAATATCCAGGATCAATCCATAATATGGAAATAAACTGCTTCTTCATAAAGAGAAAATATCCGACTGCTTTTTAAAAACCAAATGCTGTAGAACATGTTGATGATTTACTTTTCATTTGGATAATTGTGGTTTACTGTATTCTTTTATGTATTTAGAAAATTAATGCTGGTTTTTCTTCATGCCAAATCAAGCATAAGTGTGTAGACCAATTCCCAGCCATTTTCTTAATGTGGATTGCCACATAAGCCAAGACTTAGCAAAACGGTGCTTGTAGGCAACATGGAATGTGCACCTCTGTTGTATTCACAAATTAAAGGGCATTTTTAAAAAGGCTAATATCTTGAATGACTTGGATGACTCAAGAAATGTGGGTATTTAAGGAAGAACATCAGCATTGTGTAAATTTTGATTTATATGCAGTTAGTCCCCAACAAGATCACAATTGGGAGCAGAATTTTCACTGTAAGCCATCGTAAGTTGAGTTGGGCCCATTTTGCGATTTTTAAAGATGGACATTAAGCAAATTGCATGTCATTAAGCGAATCCAGCTTCCCTGGTGCATGCTTTTTCACTGGATATCAGCAAAAGAGTCACAAATTACAAATAGAATGCTGCAATGTGTTTGATCAATTTAATTTATTACAGACATAGACCAGAGACTGCAATGGGTTTTAAATATGAGCCGGTTGCCAAGTACTCAAATGGGAATGGTGCAATAGCTGTAAGTGTGAGTATAGGCTGTAAGTCACTTTTTCTAAAGTCAGTGTAACTTTGGTTGTTAAATGAATGGTTGTAAATCATTGTAGTTTGTAGACCACCAGCAGGCCCTTAGGAAGCAGTGAATGAGCATATTTAAGGATAACAGGTAGTCCTCAACTTACAACTGTTCACTTAATGACTTCAAAATTACAGTTGCACTGAAAAAAGTGACATATGGCCATTTTTCACACTTATGACTGTTGCAGCATCCCTGCGATCACATGATCAAAATTCAGACGCTTTGGCAACTGGGTTCATATTTATGATAGTTGCAATGTCTTGGGGGTCATGTGATCATCTTTTGTGTGTGACCTTCTTACAAGCAAAGTCAATGGGGAAGGTGTGTTACTAACTGAACAACTGCAGGGATTCACTTAACAATCCTGGAAAGAAAGGCCATAAAATGGGGCAAAACACATTTAACAAATGTTTCATTGAACTACATAAATCTTGGGCTCAGCTGTGGTCATAACTTGAGGGCTACCTGTATTACATTAGATTTCTATAGTGCCTTTGCAGCAGTTTCCTGTCTAGCATTGCAGAAGAAGGCTAGGAGTTAATACACATGGAGCATTAGCCATAGATCAGAGATAATTCATCAATTGTACTTAGAGAGGACTAAATGGATTATATCACTGTCAAATCATCCTCTGTTTACCTGCTCCAGTTCAAAATTTTGCTTTACGTTTTAGCACTAGCTGTGCAATGCGGTTCATCTGTGCCACCTTTGATCAAAATAAGATTACCTATTAGCCATCTGAATTACCACAGTGCAGAGAACCAGAGAGATAATCCTGGAGAGAAGAACAGATGTGGCAAAGGCAGAATATAGTTGAATTTAGCTGTTGCAGTGTTGAAATAGCATTTTGCCTTTTCTTCTGATTCACGCCTGGCCGTACAAATGTTCTATGACACCTCCATGATTGTGTTGGTGATGATGCAATCGGAGTCAGATTTCTGCCCATCTTCTCTTGGCCCTTAGAGACTGTTGTGGTCGTTACCACTTACCTCTGGACATTTTTTTTTCCAGCTGCATTGTTCTGGAAGAAAAAGATTAGTTTGCCATTGGCATTGTAGAGATGTTAAATAGAAATGGGGAATGTATGAAGCTTTTGGCTCAATCTCTCCCACCACCATTCCCACCACTACATGCAGAGAGTGAAGAAGGTGATTGTGTCAGAAATATGCAACAAATATTACCTATGAATAAAGAGCTGAAAGAAAATAGAAAGAAATAGAATTCTTTATTGGCCAAGTGTGATTGGACACACAAGGAATTTTACTTGGTGCAAATGCTCTCAGTATACATAAAATAAAAGATATATTCCTCAAGAGTCAAGAATCATTAGGTACAACACTTAATGATAATCATAGGGTACCGTAAGCAATCAAATCATACTAGGAAACAGTCAATATAAATCATAAGGATACAAGCACTTGGAAACAGTTCAGATGACACCTCCCTAATTCACTTAGATCTAAGAAAGAAGAGAGATAAAGTACAACCAGATTTGCCAGATTCTTTTATTACAGTCTATGTCAATAAGTTCTAAACTTCCTGTAGAGTTAATTTTTGATTTGGTCAACCTAGAAAGTCTCATCCCAACTGATGGCAGAGAAAGTGGGAGAACCAGGACAACACTTTCTCCACAACTTTCCCCCCAAAGGGGAGGTTAGCAAACAGTTGGAAATTACCTTTGGATCTAGCATTGATTTTACTTTAATTATTTAGCGATCAATATTTATACAACTTATATAACCCTTGGCAATTTCTTCAGGAGGAAAGGCAGAGGCAAATGACAACACCAGGAAAAAAACATCCAACAATCTAAAGGGGCTTCATTCACCCTTGGAAAACCTGTGACAAGATCAGACCCACAGAAATAACAGAACAAAACCCCTCTCTTAGCCCCCTACTCAGCTACAGTCCAACTCAAGAGTGGTTCTAAGTAACTATCCTATCCATCAGATGCCTATAACGATTTGCACCCAAAGAAGAATCTTCTGCCTGATTTGATCACCTCCAAGACTATAACTACTGCCCCTCACTACAGTTCATTTCTGTTCAAATAGGTCCTGAACCTGTCCACCGTATCTATAAATCCTGCCGTCTATAATCCAGATGTCAAACTTTCTCCAAACAATTAAGCATAATAATCTGTACTGATGTAATTACAGTTAGAAACTGTGCGGGAAACATTCCAGAAGGAGGCAGTGGCAAACCATTTTTGCACTGTTAGTAAGAAAACTACAAAGATTGTCCATGAAAACATAAGAAATCAAGCTTGACTTGGAAGACATGAACCTTTAATGTCAGCTCAGTAACTTCTTTTCCACTGTGCAGTATATGCCAATACAGGATAGAGCACATCTAATAAATGTTATCACTCAATTTGTAAGGATAATATTATACTTCAGATTGCCTATCTAAAGCCCCATAGCAAAAGGAAAACAGAATACAACAGGCAGACAAAACTTTAATTAGAGCCTGGAGGTAATGGAATCTATCCAATTTAATCTCTGCCAAAGCATTATGTTTTTCAAGATGCACTAGTACACAACTTTGGTGAATATTAAATAGATTATATAATACAAGAAGGAAATGGATCCAGAAAATAACATACCAAAAGTCCAGGTAGGTTTTTTCTTTTAGATTTATTTATTTTATTTATTTATTTTGTCAAGTGATTATAAGATAACAAGTATAAGTATAAACATAGTTATGAACACATGAAATACATATAAGAAATATATATAAGATACATATAGGATACATATAAGAAAAATAAAAAGAAACAATAGGACAGGGACGGTAGGCGGTAGGAAAAAAAAGATTTTGAGGTACCTGGGAGCGCCGTGCGCTGCGTTTTGGTTTAATCCCAAGCGGCTGGGTGGGTGTGAGAAGAGGCGAGCGAGAGTCTCTGCTGCTGCTACCCTTGGTGCTCCAGCCTTGGGCTTCCTATGGGTGGGGGGCTGTATTGTTGGAGAAACACGGTAGCTCAGGGTTAAAATGAGCGCTCCTTGGCGCTCTCTGAGCTTGGTTGTTTTCAGGCTAGCACTGAATATTACCTAGTTTGTGTAACGAAACACCTGCAAGTTCGCTTGATAGATGGCTAGTGTACAAATTTATTAAACAAATAAATAATAAAATAAATAAATTTAACAGGAAAGACTGAGGTGGTCGTTGTTTGGATGGAATTGGAGAGCTCTTCAAAGAAGAACTTAGGGAACAAAAGGCAACGTTGAGTTCTTTAACCGTTGTTGTTTTTTAAATAGAAACCCAATAAAAGAAAGATAAACTAGTTTTCCTCTGTACTGCATTCCGGGTTTTTTTTTAATTACATGTCGCTGATTTACACTTAACGATTTTTTCCCACTCCCTTAGTGTACTTTGCTAAGATTGCTTACAATACTAACCAAAAAAAGCGAACCGCGTGTTTGTGTGTCTGTTTGTGTGTGCGTGTGTTTATCGGTGTATCGTTATATACAGTACCTATCGGCAGAGGGCGCGAGAGAGCAAGGCTGGCTGTGAGAACTGGTGGACTTCAGACTCCAGAAGCCCTTGGCGGAGTTCCTGCCAATCATGGAAGAGCGCCTTGGCGCTAAGGCTGCCGGGAGTTGTAGGCATCGCTGTCCCTGAGTGGTGGCTCGGGAGCCCTCGAGCCCAGCCCAGTGGGAGGGACGGGCTCTGGAAGAAAGGGCAGACAGGTACCTTTGCGATCGGCCCTGCAGGTGACAGCAGCCGAGGGAAGGGGGCGGGGGAGGGCATGCGAGGGGGAGGGCAGATTCGGCGTCGAAAAAAGAGGAGGCCCGGGAAAGGGCGGCGGGTGCATTGCAAGCCACAAGGTGGAGAAGCGAGTCGCCGCTTGGCCAGCCCCCGGATTGCCGCTGGGGCAAGTGTGCGACCAGCCTTTTGCAAGCAACGGGGAAGGAGCGCGAGGTGGGCTGCTTTCTTTTCCCGGCTGGGGCCCGACGTGGCTTTTGAGCGGGTAACGTCTATGCGCTCTTCCGTTAGGAACAGGCGGCAGCAGCGGAGGAGCAGGTTTGGGGAGGGGGGTCTGGTGGAGGAAAACCCCACGCCGCTTACATCCCGCTTTGTCCCCCTCGGTTCTCTTTCCCAAAGTTGCAGCTGCCTTTAAGATCATAGTGGCAGAGCCGGTCATAGAAATAACAGTAATAACTAATAACAATAATAACAGCAATAATAATAATAATAAT